AATAAACCAGTCCTTTGAAAGTGGAATTTTTCCTTATCAGTTAAAATATGCTGATGTGAAACCGCTTCATAAAAATGGCAGTAAAACAAACTCAGATAACTATCGCCCAATTTCCATCTTACCAGCCTTTTCTAAAGTTTTTGAAAAAATTATTACTGAGCAAATTTCTTTTTTCCTTGAAAGTAATAACATTTTTGTAAAAGAACAATATGGCTTTAGATCAGGACGTAATACAACTCAGGCTCTGTCTGACTTCTTGTGGGAGGTCGGCTGCAGCATTGATAAGTCTCAGAATGTTGCTGGAATGTTTTGTGACTTGTCAAAAGCCTTTGACTGTGTTGTACATAATATTTTATTTTCTAAGCTTAAATTTTACAATTTTTCTCCAATTGCTTTGAAGTTTTTGAAATCCTATCTTACAAACCGCTTTCAAAGAACTATTATTTTTAAAGATAACATCTATAACTTTTCAAAATGGAAAATGATCTATTGTGGTGTACCTCAGGGCTCTATATTGGGACCCTTGTTGTTTTTAATCTATATTAACGACCTGCCTTTTAACATAAACTCAAAGCTTGTTCTATACGCAGATGACACAACAGCTATATTAAAATCAAACAGCCCTAACAATTTACAAAATTTGATAAACCAAACTTTTGAAGATTTAAACAAATGGTTCAGAGCAAATGGTCTGAGTCTAAATTGTTCTAAAACTCAAATTGTCAGGTTCAAAACTACTCATGACAGAGAAACCATCAAATTAAATATTAATTTTCAGGGGGAAATTATTAATGAAACGTCATCTACAAAATTTTTAGGTATTCAGGTACAAAACACTTTAAATTGGGATAAATACACATCAGTTTTAGCTAATAAACTAAATACAGTCTGTTTCCAGATGTCTGTCCTGCAGCATGTTACTGACCTCAGAACAAGGATGATTGTTTATTATGCTTTGTTTGTGTCAAACATGTTGTACGGAATAGAGTTCTGGGGCAGCTGCTCAAATGCCGAAACCATTTTCAAAATTCAAAAAAAGATCCTTAGAATTATGACATTTTCAAAGCCTAGGCAATCCTGTAAATTATTATTTAGAGAATTGAAAATATTAACACTTCCGTCTGTTTATATCCTGCAAACATTAATATTTATTAAAAAAAATCTTGAATATTTTATGAATGAAAACCATAACCATAATTATTTAACACGACATCGAAATGATTTACAACTGCCCATTCATAGACTTACCTCACTAGAAACCCTTCCACAATACCTAGGGAAAAAACTGTATAATAAACTGCCTGATAATATTAAATCATTAGAATCTTTTGAAAAATACAAAAAAGAAGTTACCAAATTGCTGCTTAATAAAGGGTATTACAAAGTTGATGATTTTTTAAATGATGTATATATTTGATTTCTTAGCATATTGTATAGTTATTATAGTTTTATGTATTTTAATTGTCCATGACCATTTCACCTGTTTCCCAGCTATGCTGGATCTGTAAAACGTTATGTGAAAATAAATGATTGACTTGACTTGACTTGACTTAAAATTAATGTTGGAGGTAGGTACCCTCTAAGAGTAAGAAAACCTAAAATGTTTCCTGATTTTGTTATCTACATGGTTACCCATGAGGATCTAGAGCCAAGTAATTGTCAAGAGGTAACAGAAGACCTGAATGAGAGTTTGTAGAAGCATGCTATGGATGAGGAGTGTACTTCCTTGATTAAGAATAACACCTGGACTCTTGTTGATCTACCTCAAGATGACTTTCTTCTGTTCAGCAATGAAAATGACTTAAAATCAAATGTAAAACTACAGTTAAAAGGATATTTTGAAATCAAGGATCTTGGTGAGGCTAAAAATGTACTAGGCATGAGAATAACTAAAGAAAATGATATCCTGAGAATTGATCAAACAGCTTACATTGAGAAGATTTTTACACGACTTTATATGATCTGATTGTAATCCTTCCAACACTCCTATGGAAGAAGGGCTAGACCCTAAAAAGCCAGAGGTGATGAGGAACCTCTACATGGTTTTGTTGATGCCAGTCAACTTTGATGGGAAAAGTTTTACCGGATATGTTTTTAAACTTTGTGGAGGACCTGTGTCTCGGGGAAGTAAGAAACAGAGATGCATGACTGATTCCTCAACAGAGTCAGAGTTTGTAGCAATGGTTCATGCATGCAAGGAAGCAATGTTTCTGAAGCACTTGTTGGAAGAGCTGGGAATATTTCTTGAGCATGTAAATTTGCATTGTGACAACATGCCAGCAATGAAGATTTTGCAGAAGATAAGCGTGAATGACAAGACCAAACATATAATTCGTAAACAGTTATTTGTCAGAGACAAAATCAAGAGAAAACTAGTTGTGCTGAATTACATTTCAACTTCCAGGATGGTAGCGGACATTTTGAAAAAATCACTTGGCAAAATCAAGCATGATGCTTTCATGACCGACCTTGGTATTACCCCAATGAAGGATCAAGATTAAGGAGGGGTGTTGGAATTTATTTGTAATCTTGTTCCTCATTGCCTTCTAGGTATTAAGTTTAAAACAGCTGTCATGTATGATATTATATGCCATGTGTTTGCTATGTTTATTATTTTTTGTAAATAAACTTCACTTCCACTATGTTCTTTAGAAACCATACTGTGTAGTCTTTTTACTCCTAACAGGAAAATCAATTATAAACAAGTCTTTCACGACAGGGATGTAACACAAACCATTTGTTTCTTGCAATTACTATTATAAATAGTCACTACCTATTTACCGTGCGCTGAGTATCATAGTATACTACAGACTGGGACGGTGGCGTCGTCCTGTAATCCAACTACTAGGAGGTCACAAATTTTGGATATTTAGGCATGCACTGTGGATGAGATACTCCCTGGTTTGGATTAACGTCCGCACTAGTAGAGTACTACGACTATCCGCAGTACCGGTACTAACCTGATAATTAGACCATTTTGGGAATACCAAGGCAAAAGTAAGGTTCGGATTCCACTATAAACTGTAGGTCCCTTAGTCGCCATTAGCTGTATGGGCTAATAATTACCTAACAGCTGTGTGTAAGGAATGTCGGCCTTAGTCACTAACAAGACTACAAGATCGCGCCACTCATCCTACACTCATCTCCATTCATACTTGGCTTAAAATACCTACTTTGTATGGTCACCATTTTAATAAAAAGTATTAAAAGTAGCCGTTAACGATGGGAGAGAAAATTGAGGCTCCTAACAAACATGAATTTTGACTTGTGATAAAATGTTTGTGGTGTAAAAAGCTAAAGTCTTAACGTAACTCTGTATGTTAGTGATTTAGAGGGCTGGCTAAAGAAAGTCATATCTAAGTTGAAGAGGAAGTATGATTGCTGATTGATGTTTTAAGGAATGCCAATTTGTCACTGTCTATTATATTAATATTTAACAGTTAACAAAAGAAACTAGTATATTCACAGTTGAGTTATGTAAACAACAATTCTTCAAAGAATCAAAATAATTTCTTTACTACGTAGTTCGGGAATAATTGTCAGTCGGTTACACTTGAACATAATGTTCTAGGTAGGAACATAGTTATATTGACTCCCTTTATGTCTAAAGGTCCCTTATTTAGATTCAAAACGAGATGAGTTTTGAATCCGGATATCGTTCTACATAGGGTTACTATGACGATATCTAAAAAAATATTGACGTTAGAGATAGTACCAATACTAATGTCTGGATGGTCCCTTAAAAACTTCAAAAAATGCCAATGGCCAAAAACACACACGTACACCAAAAGGGGTAGACTAAATGGCATTTCAACACCAAAACATGTCCTAATTTTACAAAATTTGTTAAGCTGCAGTTAAATGGCTTCTATGATTCAGAAATTTCCTTCACTTGACCCTTTTCCACAAGCTGTTCACTTTATAAGAATTTAAACAACATGATCAACCGACAAAGTCTTACTAAAAATATGTAGAGTTTAAAAAATACTGTTTGACAAAGGATTGATAGTAATGAATGATTGTGATTTATCCATCGGAAGATAACAGTGTTGTCCAACGAAAACATCCGTCAAGGAAGATTTTAATATTCCAATAAAAATCGACATCTTTCTTTAGAAGATAGCTACAGGCGATGTAATGAACTGTCTGAATTTAACGACATCTTTATTCCAGTCATTTCTCATTTATCTTGTAAATTTATTCGGAAGTTCAAGTTTTCGTCTCTCATTTTTTAACGTTTCTATTGGTTATTAGTTTTACGCGTTGTTTGGTACTACTGTATTTCAATGCGGGGTTAATTGCGTTAGAGGCGATTATTCCTGTCTCGTTCGTGATATTTATATCTAAAGGAGATTACGTCTGAAACTGAAATATGATGGTTGCAGCTCTAGCTACCTGAAAATTAAGTTTAAACCTATAACTTTGCATTAAATATTAATGTCAGATGTCAGATTAGCAATATTTATCAGTCACTTGCTGATCTGCAAGCAAGATTTTATTCCTTTATTTCTGTCATTGTCTCTTCTAATACCTACTGATGGAAGATTTCCGTTAACTTCACATGTACCAATTTATTGTAATTTAAGGACATCAATCGTAACTAACTTATCTTCTAAGCACTTGATAAAAGTTAACAACTACATGAGAAGGTCAACACAGGTCAATAGGTCAATAGGTAACACAGATGGCCAATCTCTCTTCTGAATAGCCTGTAAAAACTACTGAAATCTCCCTTAATACCTAGCCTACTAAAATAAGTTACTAGGTATGGATTATGATTATATCTACCACCCCTGTCATTTCCCCCCACAAAATTGAACAACATAACAATAAAATGCAGTAGGCTAAAAAAAACATGCAGGATCAGTATTTGTTTACAAAAATTTGCTAAAATCTGTTTTTTTTTTACTTTTCTTACTTAAAGAGAATGGGTTAGTTTGAAATGAAGCCGTGTTCTCGGATGTTTAAGTATGTGAACTATCCAGAGTAGGCCTACTCACATAACATGCAGTTCATGACGAACACGAATAATCTCATCTTTATTGACAATTGACAAAATCTTGCTTCTTTCCTCTTCGGTCAGTTTGGAGAGAGCAGGTTCCAACAAGACTTTCCGACTGGTCATTCCTAAGAACAATTTAAATTCATTAGAATACCAAGCCTAAAATTAGTTGTGTTTATTTCAATGACAGCATAAAAAAACTGTCTCATTGTCATTGGCTTTTTGAAATAGAATAAAGTAGGCTACATGATCCCACAATCAATAATAAAGTTACTATTATTTTTTGATGGTCCAATGGAGTTGGATATCAAAGTTTTTACCCAAACAAGTCTGATTCCAGAGCAGTAGTTCAAATAGTATTTCATTTTTATTTTATTATGACACAACCTATCCGGCAAAGCTGGTCTTGGTGAAGAGGGAGGTAATCAGGCCTATAAAAACTGCCTACTTTGAAGGTAGGCTATATATAACCATACGTCTGAACCCCTTAGGTATTCAAGAAAAATAAATTGATATGAAAACCAGACTTAGTTGACAGAGGAAGTACGTAGGCCTACCTTTGGTGTCAAAATTAACAAGCAGCTCCATTCATCCATAAGTTGAGTTTAGGCTACACTTAGGTTTTCCAAATGTGTTATTAACTTAAGTTAAGTAGGCCTAATCAAATATTGCTTTTAGTGCAGCCGTTTCTTTATTTACTTTCCGTAACTTAACTTATATAAAAATTGTTAGGAAAGCTGGTACCTTATTGGATGTCTTTGATTACCTACAATTTTGAAATTTAAAAATGTTCTTACCTTTATCATCAAATCACATAATTCGTAGGCTACTGCAAAATACAGTGATAAATGGTATATCTACAAAACTTGTTTGAATAGGTTTACTATTTACACACGTCCTACATAACCAGTGATATTGTAGAAATTTTCCAAAAAACCCTTTGTAAATGAAACGAAAAACAAATTATTCGCAAACAAACACAGTAAAATATTTGAAATCTCGTATTTGTAACACAAACAGCAATAAATTACTATTATAACTAAGATATTCAACAACTCGAAACTCATGAAGAAACATGAAAGTAAGTGCACATACATACACAAACAACAAAGCAACAGGTTGTTTTGATTTTGTGTTTGTTTTGTTTAATTCCAAACCAAACCAAACATATGTTTAGTTGTTTAGTTCAGCTGCCCCACAGTATAATAGGAAAAGGGTCGTTCGTTGACCATTGATTATGACACTTTACCTACGTTTAGTAACATAAGAGCACTTACTATATCAAAATAAATAGACCAAAATAATACCGACCAAATAATAGAATGATGTCTATTATTAAGTTTACTACATATAAATGGAAAAAATGTGAATTTTTATTGACTCATTAATTTTAAAAACTCCCGTTTTGTTGATTGGTTAACATTCCAGCAAATATCAAATCAGCTTCTAAGCGTTTCATCAAAGCTGTCGGTATGGGGCCTGTTTCATAATAAACTAGCCTATAAGATGTAACTTGTAATTTCCATTAGATTTGCATTGGGCAATCAGCTGATTTACTAATAATATTAGTTTGTAGATTATTATTAAATAGGCCCCTGGAAGGAATGGTGTAATATTGGAAGCATCAGTGCTGTAACACCTGTAATCTACCTGGAGTACTACGATCAGACTTAGGGTACCATAGGCTAAACAAAACCAGCAAAACTCCAAACAACATGGGGATCAAAATGTTTAATCTCTTGCCAAAAAAACTCAAAGAAATAAGTGAAAATAAAGCTTTTAAAAAACAACTCAAACTATACCTAATTGAACGACCACATTATAAATTAATTGAATTTATCAACGAACACAAATATAACAATTTTTTAGTACTCTAACCTAGTATTAGTTTATTTGGATTTTTCCATACATGTGTCATGTTCACGGAAATAAAGCATTTAATTTAATTTCATTTCATTAACACATCTTCCTTTCTTTCTTGTTCATTTAATTATGAACATGCTATGTAAAAACAACAAATAGGAAAGCAATAATGCTCAATTACACTCTCACACACATACACTATTACAAGAAATTGACGATTCCCCTGTCTACAAGGACGGCGGAGAAGACATCGATGGTAAATGGTAAATTCTGAAGGCAAGTTCTGAATAATTGTGGAGCTTTTGATTATACTTCTCCCAAGGGAAATCTTGCGAGTTAGAAAAATAGTCCATGATGATATCTGAATTTAGTGACTAAATGGATTTAATTTTTTTGTTAGATATTTTGGTATTGTTACCTGCAATCATTGACTATATACCATAGTTGGTATATATTGTAATAGAGGTGGCTGTGTATATAGTCAATGCTGCAATCCTGCATCACCCACCTATTTTAAACATTTATCACCCGATAACAATAACACAACCTTTGCCAGATTTTTTTTATTTCATGGTATCACCATGAATGGTGGTTTAATCCCGACAACTATCCCACAAAACATCTGTGAGCTCATTGCTGAGCACTTTTCTTCAGTTTTCAAACCATCTGAAAGAGATCCTTTCTTCGAAGAAAAGTGGTCTTTTCTGGTTCCTTCACTGAATTTTCTGTTTCTTGCAATGAAGTTGAAAAGGTTCTTTCCACCTTAGATGGTAATAAGGGAGCTGGTTCTGACGATATTCCACCATTAATATTTAAGTACTGGATTCTTGCCCCTCACTTGACAGTATACAACTTGTTCGGTATTCATATTTTTAGAGTATTTAGAAATTAATCATTATGTTAATTAAGTCACTGGTTAATTAATCATGCTAATGTGTATATAAATCACCACATTTATTGTAATATTATTTAGTCTCAGTAACAATTTATTGTAAATAGACTCCCGCTTTCAATATTCAAATGAGATTGCTAAGCCTGCTCGAATTTCCCGCCACAGTAAGGCCTATTTTCCTGTACTACATACCCATGAATCACCTGACGCCGTGTTTGCTTCAATCGCATTTCCTATTGGCCATCGAATTCCTAGACCCCTCTAAACCGCAATTGCATTTTTCAAAGTGTGAAGTCCACGATCGGCGTCTGTCTGTCCACGGTCGGCGTCCATAACTCACGGTGTATTCCGTTTCTCGTATCTCGGGACATTAATTGCCCATTTTACCTCTCTTAAACGTATTTTTAGGCTATAGATTAATTATATCTGGCCTCCCTCTCCTCTATAGTACATTTAACTATATATACATTTTAATTTCCCCCTTTTGTTTGTGATTAAATTACTTAAATTGTGATCTAGTGCTTTCAGACTCTTCAAACCTCAAGACAGTGTGTGCGCGTCCGTGTATTACTTCTAGACTTTCCGTACGTTTTCACCGTGACTTCCGCGTATTAGTGAGCTCTTTGTGATTATGAACTTGGGTGCGTTGCGTACTCCAAAATTCTACAAAACAGAAGCACTCGGTCTAAGGACTCCGCCATCCGCCATCGCTCCACCATAGACGACGCCGCTGCCATACTCTCCACCTTTGGACAATTGGACTCAAGGTACAACCTTAAAGTTTTGTGTGTGTTTTAATTAGACTCTAAAACTAATCTCATTTGCCCCTCACAAGACATTTTATTCCATCTCGGGACCTCAGTGCCCTTCAAATTGCAGATTCGCCATTTTCTCTAATTTAATTATTTTTCTCTTGAACTATTAATTAGTTCTGGTCCTTCGAGTTATTAATTATTTTCATTTTCACCCATTACGCCCCCAACATTTGGTCCTTCGAGCCGGATTCATTGTCTAAAGTCCTGTGGTAATTAATTTCAGCCAATTTTCATCATCAACCATATTTTTAGCGATCTGCAATTTTCAATTTTCGCCATATTGGTAAAATATCGGCTCGCGTTCGTTCCGTTCGTGGGCGTGGTTTAGCAATCTCTCTCCACTCGCGCGTCTGCGCAGGTCACAATCATGTACAATTTGCTGTTCTCTCTAGTAGTAGACAATTTTTCCCTACTTGGCTTTTTTATCCCGAAAACGGGATTTAGTTTTAGTTGCGGGATTTAGTCGCGTGCAGACGGCCGACACTAGTAGCAGACGCATATCTCACACTCACTGTACAGCGTTTGTTGTTGTTTACATTTTCTCATTTAAGGTGTATTGTGTAATAAGGTTGATTGATATTATTAATAACCAACTATTAGGTTATTATTAGGTATTTACTATTATTCTTTGAATCAATATTGCTCTTTTGAATATCATACTAAATAAACAATAATTTGTCATTGTTATTTAACATTGTTTATGCTTTCTGAATTTTGATTTTAAATGAAGTAAAGTTAAATTAGTTCATCTTTGTAATTTTGGTTGACAAACGTGCGATATTATATTTAAGGTAATTTTATCTTGTCAATTAACATTTTAATAAATAGTTCAAAATAACCGTTTTTACTGGTTCTTATTACTAGTGTTGTACATATAAACAAAACTGTTAGCTAGCGTATTTGTATTGTGATTCATATTTCATTGATGGTTATAATTTTATGTTCCTTTCTCATTTATTAGGGTAATAACTTACTCTTTATGTTGCAATTCTTGTTTACTAAGGATTATTCTACACTGTTTCATTAATGAGGCCTACTCTCATTAAACTTATTTAGATCCATTTATTATTTTTGTAAATAACGGTGAACTTTCATGTGACTCATTCATTTGTTCTATCATATCTCTTGTTTTATTGTGCATTATTATTACCGTACTTGAATACTTTCAACTAAGCTCAATTGTTGATTTATGGTTTGAAAATCGAATTAAACCTGCCACACTCATTTAAAAATATTTTATTGCTATTTAACGTGTTGATAACTTAGTGTTTTTCACTATTTGCCTCAATTAAGCTACAAAGTAGGTGGATATATGTTTTAGATATTTATAATATTTTATCTCTATATTATTCAGCGGACAATTAATTACTACATTGTTAAGCTAATACCATTCATAGGCCTAGCTACAAGCCTTTTGTGTACCCATAACTTCCATTTTCGTGTGAATACTTTCAAGTGAACACTTCACAATGCCTCCTAAAGCATCTGATTTTAAGTCCGCAATCTACACCCGTTCTACGGCGCTGATTAAATCACGTTTTGAAAAACTTAAGGCTACAGTAGATGAATTATCAACTCAAATCGACCCTCTAACACCATTACAACTTAAGAAATTATCCGCTTACGCGTTGGAAATAAAAAAGAAACGCAGTGAATTTGAAAATAACCTTCAACGTGCCTTCGTTCTGGAAGATGAAGGGATCGATGATAAGACTCTTTCCAATGATCAAGATGCTATTGAAGACATGTTCTCTCACATTCAAGCTACGATTGAAACTCTGGTTCCCTCAGAACCACCAAAAACCCCTTCCGCGTTCAGTGAATCGTTTTCTGTTTCAGAAACTCATCCAAGCTCACAAGTACGATTACCTAAACTGGACTTACAAAAATTCTCTGGCGATCCATTAACGTGGACAAGTTTTATCAATCTTTTTGACACTGCAATCCACCGTAATGCTTCATTATCCTCTGTTATGAAATTCCAGTACTTACTCTCTGTCTTAAATGGAGAGCCTCTCAATTTAATAAGGAGTTTAAATCTCACCGCTCCTAATT